GACTCGCACTTCTCATGGTCTACTAGCGACGATTCCGCATAGAATTTTGGCTAAGTGGAATGCATGGCGGAACGATTTCCCGTGAACAGCTCGTGCTTGCGGCTTGTTTCTCACTGTTCAACATTTACTTCGCCAGCATGGTGAATATATATCCACTCGTGGGTGCTCGATACGTTACGGCATGGATTAACCAAAAATATTCACTTCATTATCAAACTTCCATTCCTCGTCCAATGCTTCAAGGTGACCGGTCGTCCCAAAGACCCAAGCATGGGCGCCTTCCAACGTTTATCGCCAGCCATCTATAATGCAGTTAGCATTAGTTAGTGGCTGAGATCCGTTAACCGCGTAGCATTTTCACTTCGCGCTTGTGAGCTATACAAACTTCTATATCCCTGCTTGCTTTCCCATGCACATCAGCTTGTCCTAAGCTCTGCTTGGTATATCCGAACCTCTTCAACTCATTCTGCAATTTACCGCATCCAACTCAAGCAAAAAAGCAAACCGAACAACCATGTCAACTGAACCACGAACCATCAAGGCTTACGCCTGCTTCGGTAAGAAGGAAGAGGTCAAGCCATGGGAATACAAGTCCCGTCCACTGGGCCCTGGAGACGTGGAAGTCAAGATCTCACACTGTGGCATCTGTGGCTCCGATCTGCACACCATGGACAGCGGCTGGGGTCCATCGATCTACCCGTGCGTCGTGGGTCATGAAATCATTGGCGAGATCACTCTGGCTGGAGACGAAGTCAAGGGCATGAAGGTCGGCGACCGTGTGGGCGTCGGTGCCCAAGTGTTCGCGTGTCTGAACAAGGACCCCGCGTCACCGTGCAAACTGTGCTCCGCTGGTGACGACGCCTACTGCCCCCACAGAGTGTGGACGTACAGCGACAGATACGCTGACAAGACCGTGACTTATGGCGGCTATGCCGAATACATCCGCGTCATGCATGAGTACGCCTTCAAGATCCCGGACAACATCCCATCAGATGTCGCGGCACCACTGCTGTGTGCCGGTGCGACGGTGTTCCGACCGCTGAAGGAGGCCGGCGTGAAGCCCGGTAAGCGTGTCGGTATTGTGGGCATTGGCGGCTTGGGCCATTTGGCGATTCAGTTCGCCAAGGCCATGGGAGCTGACGCTGTCGTGGCCTTCTCTCGCTCACCGAACAAGGAGAAGGAAGTGCGCGACTTGGGTGCGACGGATTTCGTCAACTACACGGACGAGAAGCAAGCCACTGCGGCGGAAAAGACGATCGATGTGTTGCTCGTCTGCGCCAATGCCGACAACATGCCGTACACGCTGTTCCTGAGCTTCTTGGCGGTCCGTGGCTCGCTCATCATGGTGGGTCTTCCCAATGACGACGTCAAGTTCAGCGCCTTCGGTGTGGTCGCAAAGGGGGCGAACTTCGGTGGTAGCAACATCGGCAGCATCAAGGACATCAAGGATATGCTCGAAGTGGCATCCAAGAAGAACGTGCGTCCCGTGATCCAGAAACTGCCCATGAGCAAGGCCAACGAGGGCATCAAGATGGTGCGTGACGGCTCGGTGCGCTACCGTGTCGTGCTCGAGAACTAACTTGGTTAGTCCGTTCCATGGCATCAACGCCATTTGCATTCACTATGTGCGTCGTTAGCAAAAAGAAAGCCAACAAACAACAACAGAAAAGCTAACAATTAATGAAAAACTAAAATGAGACTTAAGAAGAAGAGTGTTTGGTTCGGTGAAACGACTGTGGCTTTGGGGAGTCGCGACCTGCCACCGCTTCCACGGTACGGCATTGTCATTCTCAAACTAACAGTTCGCCTCGCACCCCGTTGCCATCTTCTCAGATGGATGGCAACTAGAGATCGCCCTCTTCCAGGCCAGATTCCACACCTCGACGAGATCATTGAGGAATCTCCACGTCAACAGAGTCCCAACGCCAGCGGCTCGACCAGCCCCGCCTATCGTCTCATTCCACCTTCAAAACCCC